TCATCTGTGTCTCTGGAATGGAACAAGATAAATGAATGGCCAGCATCTTCCGTTCTCCAGCCTTTTGCCAGCTGCCTGCCACTGACAGACAGAGGTTTACAAGACACATATATAGGGCTGGTCCCCATGAGTATAACCATTTTTGTTACTATAGGCTTGGGTCTGGGTCTCTAAACCCTCTGAGGGATCTCTGACCTGGGAAGCTAGGCTGCAATTGATCACAGGCAAATACCAGCCAGGACTTTTGCTCAGGCCACGCAGGACAATCTCAGTGGCTGTCTCGGCCCCTGTTCCCACACTCCAACCCTGGTACTCAAGACAAGAAGAGGCATTAAGGGATGAGTCCAAAGAAATGACAAAAGTGTTTCTCTTCAAGCTCAGGGCAAAGCCAGCCTACGTCACCCACCGACACCTCCCACCTATACCCAGGCCTTCTCAGGACAGAGAATGGGAGCAGATGGGAGCCCCAGGCCCACTAACTGAACCCTCGGGGTGAGAGTTTAAAGAGGGAGAAGGGCCCAAAGTGAGACCCCAGAAAGGGCAGATTCCTTACAGGCACGTCCAGGCCCGCATATCCCTAAGCTCACCCCTTTCCTCCCCTCCACCCAGGACTCCAGCTCAGAAGCATCTTACGGGCATTCCAGCCCTTATCAGAGCACCCTTCCAAGGCCAGATGTGGCACAAACACAAGGAATCGGGAATCAGGAGAGTCTGACTTAACACATCTCATGGTGTGAGCCTGGATCTCTCAGCATGCTCACCTGTAAGATGGAGATAATGAGGCCTGCCCCGAACAGCTCAGAATCCAGGTAACATGTGTAGGTTTCTGTAAATTGTCAAGGGCTGTCCAGATGCGAAAGATAGTTTTTATTACTCTGCAGAGCGGGTTCTTATTAAATGACAAAGTTCCCTAAAGACCAAGTGTAGATGGGATTGACCCTTCATATTTCCGCACTTATAAACACACTCATGGTGCCGGCCTGTGGCCTTGTCCGCAAGGATCTAAAGGACTTTGGTCCAAGACCACCTCTGTCACATTGAGTTATCTTCACATGTGCCCAAGGATGATGCTCTTCCTCTTGGATGTGCAGACATCCTCCCCCAGAGCTGGTTTCCACTGACATGCAGTGGAGCCTTCCCCAAGGGAATGTTACTCATTAAGTTACAGCTTACATCGGGTGTTTCCAGGCACCACAACTCAGCTTGGAAGACTCTCAAAAGGATGTGGGCCTCCTGGTCATCTCGGACTTTCCCTGTGCTACTGAGACAGTCTGCTGCCCCTTCAGCAGCTCACACTGAGGTTACTGGAACCATGTGCACAGTGTGCTCATGGGAAAGGTATGTGATGCTACCACCACCCTGGGGGACAGTTCAGAGTAACAGTCACTATAGGGGCTCCAGTGGCCTGCAGTGTGGGTTCAAATCCTGGTTTTGACACTATCTGTTAATGTTGGGCTCTTCATCTATAAAATATGGACAACATAGTAGTTCCTACCTCATCAGCTTGTTATTAGGATTCAAGGATATAATGCGTATTATGAATAAAATGCACTTCAGGCTTGTTACTGAGTTTGTGCCTTTAGCTAGTGACTTAACTTTCTTCACACTTTTTGGCTTTTCATTTCTCACACTAACTGTTCCAAATAGATAATAAACAAACTAACGACAAACAAATAAATGTCTTCTGTTAATGGGGAAGGTCATGATGTTGTTTTATATTTTATACTACCCCATCTTCAGGGCTTGCTCAAATGTCTCCTCTCTGAGAAGTGTCCACAGCTCCCTGAGGATGGCTTCCTTGCCCTTGCGTGTGTGCTCATGTACCTCAGTATTCCTGCCCCCGTGCAGTAATCGTTCATGTGCTTTTCTATTTCCTCCATTAGACTATTGACAACTTAAGGTTTTTTTTTTAAAAAAAAGCATGTCACACAGTGCCTTGCCAAATAATGTTCAATAAATGGCTACTGAATTATTACTCCCTGGAATTATCCGTCACATTCACTCTGAGACAGAGGCATTTTGCTGTCTTCCAAATTACAGTTTTGGGAGCGTCCCTACAGATGAAAGGATCACCTGGCAGCAGAGACAGTGGTCAAGATGGACTTGAGCTGCTTTTGGCAGGAAACAGAATGAGATTCCTCTTTGCTCACTGACTGGTCTCTGAACTCCACTGGCAGAGTCAATTCAAATGCCATAGTTTCTGAGTGTTTCATTCCCTTCAGAAGAAAAACCCCACAGATTATCACAGGACAAGCATCCTGGGTCACAAGGCCTTTCAGAATTTAAATGTGCAAAGGGTAAAATCTTTCCTCTGGTGCCTGAAACTTGGGGACACTGACTTTGTGGTGGTGCCAGTACCTTCCCAGAGGAAGCACTCTGCAAATATGTGCTGACCGAATGGATGGATGAATCCTCAAGTGACATTGCTGCATCTGAAACAGCTAGAGGAACTGATGCTGGGCAGAGACCTGGCCTTCAGTCAGAATTAAAAGAAAGGATAAAAAAGGCTATTGAGACTCTTTGCACTCCAGCCATGTTGTCTCTAAGCCCCACAGGGCAAGGCAGCAGTATAGACAGGAACTGGGGGCTCTGCCTCAACACCATCCAATGGTAACTGTTTGCCAGTTACCTCACCTGCATCATATCTAAATTCTACAACCAGTCCATGAGGTAGAATTCATGAGCCCATTTTATAGATGAAGGAACTGAGGCCCAGACTAAAGACTGCCCAACACCCTACTGACTGGCATCCCAGTCTATCTGCTCTGCCCCTGGGAGAGAAGCCCAAGTTGGTGAAAAGGTGAGGACTTGTTCTCTTCCTCCCTCACATCTCTAAAGAGACTTCAGGAATACTAGGCTCTGAGGTCAGGCTTGTGAGTTCCTCAGGGGCCCCTGAAAACTCTAGGAAGGTGACAGAGAGAGGCAGGATTTACCGAATTTTGAGTGTGCACTAGGCCAAATCGCAGCACAGAACTAATTACTGAGGTGGTCACAAGTCCCCTTCTCCTCCCCATCTTTTAATATTCTCCCTCCCTTCCCCTCCCCCCCCTGGCCCCGGCCCAGTCTGACACTCACACACACACACACAGACACACACACACACACACTGATTTCACTGTTAGAAAACCTGTACTGATAACATATATATTCACTGAAGCCGAAATGTCCATGAGAAACCATCAACGCCTTCCCAGGCACACAGGCCAAACTCAATCCCAAAGCTGAATAAACACGAGTATTTCTGTTTTATTCTTCTCGTACACTCAAGGGAACTCCAAAAGACTGGCTACCTCCTTCTTGAAAATCCACTTGGCCCCTCCTGGGATTACCCAGCTCTACTTGGAAAGGGGTAGCCCCAGCGTTAGCTGCTGCTGGCTCCCCGTTCAGAAAGCAAATCCTTTCATGGAGTTCAGCTGTTCCTCCGGCATCCAGTAAAGCTGGTCGTGCAAAGGCAGAAAATGTGACAACTGTTGGAAACCTTCAACAGAAGCCTGTGGGAGCAACTGAGCGTTCCCTGGAGCAGCCACTTCATGGATGGTTAAAGCAGCCTATTATTCCATTTCCATAAAACACCCGCCAGCTACATGGCACCAATAACTGAATATCTCCATTCTTATCGAGTTCAGCACACACTGGCCACACCGCCTGGCCACTACCTTTAGAAACCATGAACAACTTCGTTAACCAGCAAAATACACATGCACAAAGAGAAAAGGAAAGAAAAGAAAAAAACAGCCTTCTTGAGTTCTGAGGACCAGAACTCCAAGATTGTTCGATAGGCAAACCATCGTATTTCAACATTGCCTCTCACTCGCTCTCTCTCTCCCTTCAGTGGTCAAGTCTCCAAGACACTGAAGATTTGACGAGTTCGACAAAGAGGATCTCACAGTCATAGAGACCACATCAAATACTTCTGTTTTTTTTTTAAAAAGGTCTGCATGCATTTTTACCAATGAAAAAAATCTGTCCAAAGGATTTTCAAAACTCGTGTGCTTTGCTTCCAAAACATTACACACTATTTCTCCAACAAATTTATATGTGTTTCCAGGGAACTCCTGGACCAAAAAAAAAAGTACTTAAGTAGAAAAATGTCTGGAGGTTCTTGTATGCCAATATGTTAACAAACCTTCTCTTTTAATTATTATTTCATATAGCAGCAGTAATCATTCCCTCATCTGCAAAGGAAATATATAATCCAGCTGTGGTGACTCCAGTAAAAATACCACATCTGTGGATCACTGGCAACACTGTGGTAAGAGTGCTCAAATCTCGGCGGTCTCAGAGTTCTCTCCTTTACCAAGATGCACATGGGTACACTTTCCTGAAAGTGCACATAAACTTTGCCAAAACGGGTTGCTCCTTTGTATGCTGAAAATAGCTTTTCAGATTATCCACACCCATAAGAGGCTCTCTTGGAATATTATTCCCAGGACCCCAGTTGTTACAAGAAGTCCCCAAGCCCCTCCCGGGTGCTGGCTTGTACCGGTGCCCTTGTCAATATCAAACAGAAACGGGGCGGGGGGGGGGCAATGACACTCCCGGTTGGTTTCAGGACGGAGGTTCTACCGCGTGGCTGGCAGTGGAGCTGACTGCTGGTTTTCCACTTAGCAGAGAAACGGCTCCCGCAGAGCAGGGCAGCCACCGTTCTGGTCACCGATCTCTCCGTTTTCCAGAGTATGAAGTCAGAGGTATCACTTAGCACTGGGTGATAATATTCCAGGAATCGCCCCCCATACGTCTGTTTAGTTTTCCCCCCAAAGCCCAGTAGCAAGCATCTTATTTCTAAGCCAATTTTCCACATTCAAGTCCAGCCCAAAGCGCGCCCTGGGGGTTTCTATCTACAGACGTATAAAAGAAAAGGCAGCACAGCTGAGTCTTGACAGACTTTTATCCCCCAAACACATGCCCCACGGCTACTGTGCTGGAATGTCGGTGGCCCGAAACACTCCAGTTTCCATCCCAGACAATAGAGCAAGAAAATAAAATGAAAGTGGACTTACTGCTATGGCTTGCAGCCTTTCCTTGTGCAATTCCGCCTCTGCCATCCTGGAGAAGGGCACACAGGGAGAGGAAAGAAGAAAGAAAAACAAACACACGCTGTAGTCACCCCAAAAAATTGATGGGCACCCCGGGAGGGCTTCGCTAGAACCCCGGGGGAAACCAATGGGAGGCCGGGATCCGCTCTTGGGGTGGCGGGCAGAGCTGTGAGCGCGGCTGGCTCGCCTGGGCTCAGCCTCTGGCCCCCGCCCGGCCGGCCGCCTGGCTGCGCCCCAGCGCTGCCGCTAACTGCATCTCCCCGCCGTCGCCGGGCGCGCCAGTCGGGAACGTGGGCCTCGGGCTGCCGCTGGGAGGGCGCGCTCGCCCCGTGCTCGTTCTCCGCCCTGACGTCTCGGCGCCTCGCTCCGCCCCTGGGGTGTGCGAGACCGGTGGCCGCGGCCCTCGGCGGCGCTAGGCGGGCAGGGGACGCCGGGGCTGTCGCGGGGGTGGGGGCAGGGGGAGTGAAGGACCTCAAGGAGCAGATGGCGGCGCGCGTGCGGGTGGGCACCTGGGGCGCGGGCGCAAGGCGAGCGGCTAGGGCGCAGAGCTGCCGCGTCTGGGTGGCCCCGCGCTCTCTGGGGCCTCCGCCGAGCAAATGCCAGCCGAGGGGCCTCTGGCAGAAAACGGGGAGCCCTGAGCACGTGCCGTTACGTGCTAGCTGTGGCCACCGAGTGTTCTGGCCGCCTTCTAGTGCATGCCAGATGCTTGGGCTCCACGTGGGAACATTTCCAGTAGGGAAGGGCTGCCTCGCCCACATGCCTTAGATGGCCCCGTTCTCAGACAGGGTCTCCGGCAGAGGTATAGCTCAAAACAGGCCACCCCTCTGTGAAGCCAAATGTAGCTTAGAAAGACAGCAGAGGGTTTGTAGTCCTGGGTGCTTAGCTAAGCCCGGCAACTTATTAGTTATGAAACATTTGGGCAACTCACTTAACTACTCTGAACCTCAGTTTCCTCGTCTGAAAAATGGAGGATCACAATAGTTACCCTCACAAAGTTGTCCTCAGTAGTTAATGAGATAAAGTATATAAAGGTGCTTTGTAAAGGGCAATCTGTTCTGTCATTATCCTGTGACATTCAGGGTCTTTCCTTCTATATGGTCTCTAAAAGGAAAAGTAGGATCTGCTCACTCAAATACTTCACCTCTTCTTTACCGAAATGGAAGACAGTGCTAAAGTGCATTTTTTGTGGCAGGCCCTGGGCAGCAGGATATGAGAGATGAGTAAGACCAGTCCAAAGGAAATAAATGCTAAAAAACAAAATTCTTCTTAACATTGAGGAGGAACCCGCTAGAAACCCCAACAAGCATAAGCAAAATATCCTCCCCCCAAAATGAAATAAAACCCCCAAAACCAAAAAAAAACCCAAAAAACCAACAACAACAACAACAAAAAAAAACCCCAATGTGTCCTTTTTAGGTCCTTGATGCTTTTCTAAATGCAGGACTTAAGAAGGCATTTTAAAAGGCATGTACCTCAGATTTCCCCAAATCTCTTTCTGGGCAAATTCTTACAATTCACCTAAATCGCCTTTTCAACTTTCATGGAGGTTTTACCTGTCACTTGATAAGCAATGGCTACTTTGCCCAAATGCTGAAGCAGTCACCAAAACAATTTTACCAATTGATTGTTTTCCCTTCCCTTTAATAACGGGTCTAGGTGGAGTGGTTTGTGTCATAAATCCAAGCCATTGCCAGATTTGAACCTCACCCCGGTATATCCAGAACTTCTACTTCTGGCTAAGACCCGTCGCTGTCTTCAAACCCTTTATTTTCCCTTCATTTCCAGCACCAGCTCTAGCAGTACGAGTCATTGGAGGGGTGTTTACTCACATATAAACAAAGCTGTTATTACTCACATATAAACAAAGCAGTAGAGTGACTGTATACCCAACAAGAGTAGAGAACAAGATGAGGAAAGTAAGGCCGGAGAGGTTGAGAGACTCAGCCAGAGTCAGAGAGCTGGGTTGTAAACTCAGATGAGACTCCACAGAACCCTGGTTCTTAGCTCTCAGCACCAGGCTCAGCCAGTGAGATGGAGGTGGGGCAGGCCCCAGTAATTAATAAGTGAACAAGAAATGGTCCTTCCCCCCAGCTATAAAGACATTGAAAAGGAATAGAGGAGCACAACAGTGTGAAATGGACTTAATATCACTGAACTGGACCCTTAAAAGTTATTTAATAGGTCAATTTTATGCTATGTGTATTTTACCACAAATTTTTAAAAAGGAATCATGGAAGGGGAAATGGGGTGAGAGAAGAGCCCGAGCACCCTTTGAAAGCAACCAGTTGGAAAGATCTGAACTTTAAGAGAGAAGAATCAGGATTAGTGACATATATCTGGTTGTCATTTACTTTGAGGTTATAGCTAAAGAAATGAGAATGGCCAAGATGAGAAAATAGAACAAGAAGAGGAGAAAGCCCAGCAAAGGAGGCTGAGAATATATCACCTGAGAAGTAGAAGGAAAAATCAGGAGGGGTGGTTGTACCAAAAGCCACAACAGGAGGAAAGGGTTTTCAACAGGGTCATATGCTTCTGAGAGGTCAAGGACACAGACTAAGAAGAGGTCATTGGCTAGTCAGGAAGTCATGGGTGACACTGGAAGAGCATTGTGTGTATGTGGAAGATGAAGCCAGAAGCAGTTACGGAGAGTTGAGAATGAGTAAAAAGTAGGGGCAGAAGCATCCATGAGTGCAAACCACTCCTTTCAAATCTTTGGATGTGAAAGATGAATGGGGCGTGGCTGGGAAGGGGGGGTGGAGACAGGAAGGGGGTCTATGGAAAGAAGGGTAGAGTTGAAGGGTAGTTAGGTCAGGTGAGACTTGAATATTTCAGGGCTGAAGGGACTTAAGCACCAAAAACGTGAGGTCAAAGACACAGTCAAAGGGAAGGTTAAGTAGTAGGTCTCAGATTAGACCAAATGGCATCCAGCTGAGCACTGGTGGCCAGTTTAGCCTTAGAAAGAAGAAATAATGAAGCAAGGCAGGAGGATGGGGTGGGTAAAGACAAGAGTAAACTTGGAGATGAAGGAGAGAAAAGTTGACAGTAAGTGTGCGTCAGATGGCCTAGTTTTCCCTGCTGATGGAAGGGTCATTGGGGTGAGACTGATGGCATGGTAGTGGGGGGACTTCAGAAAAATAGAATTGGTTTGTAAAGAAGCTGTGGGAAATGGGAAAGTCTAAAACATGTTTCCCAACCAGAAGTATGTATGAGAATCTCCTGGGACACATCTCTCTGAATACATGTACAAAATAAAGTAGGGGTTAGGGATTGGTTTGGAACCATTGTACAAAATGAGTTTACTAGGAATAGACAAAAGACTCATGACCAATGGTGTGTCCTTTCTACATGGTTTTGAACCAGCTGAGATCCGTGATATGAAGTGTTGTGGTTACTCGGTGTTGGGGATCGTCAAAGCAGGTACAGCAAAACTCAAAGGAAAGAAAAAATCCAGAATACTGGACCCTGGGGTTTCAGCCAGCTGGAAGTATAGCCGACTCTTTCGTATATTTTGGCGGCCCAATTTGTGAACCCCTTTTCCTCTTTGGGGAATTCCCATATTACAAGCCATAGTGAGAGTCAGAGCCACCTCCCATCCTAGAAGCTGGGAAATGACAGACACTGGCTTTCTAAGATTCCCCAGAACCTATGACATGGCATGCAACTTGGACTCAGCCAGGCATGGGCACCTGCCAACCACCTTGAAGACACAACATTAGAGAATTTTTTCAGGTTGGTAGCTTACCTTTGGTCCTGTCCATCGTCCAAGCCTCCTTCTCTAGCCTTCCCAGTTCTTCAGTGAGCTACTTTAATGCACTTTCAATTCATGCCTTCTCTGCTCCTATCAGTTGGAATCAGTTTCTGTTGCTTGTGACTAAGGATTCTAAGTGAAACAGGGGGCATGTGAAGGCATGTGAAATGAAATGAATGGCTGATGCTGGGCCAAAGAGCAAAGGGAAAACATTTTCTCCTCTCCCAGCACTTCTCTCCTCAAATCTCTCATTTTAGCTTTTTAAAATCATTGAACCCATTACAAACACAGACATTTATAACCAAATTATGCCATTTCTTTTATAAGCTTTTATGGTATAGCTATTTTATACCAGACATTAGGCTATGGCTTGGTATTACAAAGAATTTGTAGCCTAGTGGTAATATTGGTGACCTTTTGCTCTCGACACATTTAAAACCTAGAAAGATCTATTACAATGGTGCATAATGCATGTAACAAATCACTGGTTCTTGCTGGGACGTTAAATTGCGTTGCGTAAGCACTACCCGCATTGTATAATGGTTTTTCTGATAGATGCTGCATTGCAAAGCATTATATACAGAGAGAATAGGGAATGCTAGATTTGCAAACTAGATGTTTTGTTAATAAAAATTTCAAAATCTATTCTAGGGCATGAGTCCTTTGGGAACCACAAATGATCACAGCCTATTACCCTGTGGGGAAAACAGCTCTATAAAATGAGAGGGAGATAACTTGCTAAGGCCCATTGAGTGAGTAAAAGTTAAAGTCTTGTTGTGGAGCAGTGAAGAGTGTAAAATGTTATCGTAACTTGAAGCTTCCCTTTGACAAAGTTACTGTGAAAGGAATGCCAGGGTCCTCCAGAATGTTCATGTTTTGTATTAGCTCTCTTTTGCCTAGGATCTTTTCAAACATGTGGTCATTCGAAACATATGCGATGGCGGCACAGAATCAAAAAGGGGGGAACAGTGCTTGGAACCCTTATGGACCCTGTGGTTATGAACAATTTGGGAACATTGATGGGATTTCAAGTATGTACTGTTTTTCTCTATGGGAGTCAAATGATAGCGAGTCCCCGTGGTACAAGAAGACAGAGAAAGAAGTTAGAGAACAGAGCACCAGCGTGGGAAATAAACTAGGCTGGATGTCACATAAGGTGTAAATGGACTAGGGTGTCTACATAGCACCTGGGGAATCTATCTAGAAATGAATGTCAGTAGTTCAGTTTGATGGCTTTCCCCCCCTCTCACTTAGCTTTGGCA